ATAAGCTCATCCTCTGCATCACATCCATTTATCTATGTAGTTGTGAAAGCGATTAAAAAAAAAAAAAGTTTTACAAATTCAGAATTCAGTTATGTCCCCAAACACATAGGAATGATAATACTGTGAAAGTGGACATAAAAAGGTTTTATTGCTTTCAGCCAATAGTGGTGTCTATGGCAGATTTGAGTCATTAAAACTCATGCATAAAATAAGAAGGTGGGGAAATTACAATTAAAAAGCTAATGATTAAAAAAAATCACATTAAGAATGCAGCTAATCCCAATAATATAAGGATTTTCAGTGTCCTGAATGCTGAATGAGCAAAAGCCCTCAGCAGGCTCAAAGAACAAATCCTAGTGTTCCAGTAAGATAAGTCTGTTAGGATATTGTTAGCTGTGTTATACAGTTGGGGGTTTTGCCAAATTGGGAGCTGACAAGATCAATAGGAATATAATAAATGTTAATATAGCACGTAATGCCCAATACCACAGATCCTAATTGAACATTTATCTGTCACTAAGGCGTCTCATCCTTACCAGTGAATGTCAAACCATGTCATCCCTTCAATACATTTCCCGAATTTAGTGTCCATTTACTGAGCCCTTGACCTTGTTAAGTGCTAGTCTAGCCTTCCTCCAACCTGCTGCCCCCCAGATGTTTTGGACCAAAACTGCCATCAGCCCTGCTGTTGCAAAAGCAGGAGTTATTGCACTGACTCCTACTAGTTCAACTGTTCAGTTGAGTCTGGCCCATAGGAACGTATTGTCTCCAACGACAAGACAAGGTGAATAGAAGCTAGAAAGGGCCTTTCTTCATTCTGAACTGAGTGGGACAAATTTTGCAATTATCCCAAATTAAGTTTAATTACCCCAACACCACGCTACGCTATAACCAAGAGGGAATCCGCCATGAATTCCTGCCCTCTGAAAGTACCTCTGTTTAAATAATTCCTGTGTAGTTCCTGAGTAAATTCTGGAAAGCTTTGTACATTCTTCAGAAGCAATTATCCAAGGCTGATCAAGTAGCATCTTTGTTTCCTTTATCATGGGGAAAGAGGTCTCAGATGACATAAAACTGGTCTAGACCAAGGACATGTCTAGCATCCAAAGAGCTTATTTTCAGTCATCTGAAAGTCTGCTTTAATTCAGGTTCAGTTCCAAGTCAATGGGTTTTTTTTAGTTCAGATCACATCACTTGGCCCTGAGTTCAGAGTCATATGTATTTGTGACACTCCAGCTGAAGAGTTATTGAAGCCTGTCTTTTCTTTTCCTGGTTCATTAATGGAATCTGATATGAAAGCTTAGTTTCTTTATACTGACAGAGAACCATCTTGTTTAAAGCCTGATGAAAGAACCCCAAGATCGCTTACGGAGAGCAAGTGAAGCTTCAGCATCAAAGGTCCTGCACCTTTCTGCCCAAGCGAGAACTTTATACCAAAACAATTCCATAATTGGGATTCTTATTAATGAGCACCTGACATTTTTGGTTGCTATCAAAAGCCTCTTTATAACTCTAACCCATAACAAATGGTGAGTGTTCATTGATATATTTCATTAGTTGCACAAAATACTTTATCTTCCTTTTTCTAAAAAATATTTATTTATTTAAATATTTGTATAGCCCTTTCATACATAATAACATTTATTTTAATTTTAAAAGGGGGAAAAACAATAAAATTACAAAATTCTGAGTAGAGCAGCAGCTACTAGGTCCAACTGGTATTGATGATCATTGAACACCTCCATTAATAAAGGTGTTTTGCAGTTGGCACCAAACTTGCATTGATGTAAGCTCTTGCGTCAGTTCCATTTCTCCCACTCAGAAGTTCCTGAGCTACACAACCACAACCCAAGAGTTTGGAACCTTTTGATACAATGTACAACTCACTTAGGCATCATTTTGAGTCTCATGTTCATTCTTCTCTGCAACACCTCTCACTCATACTGATATTTCATTCACTATGCATATGCAGGGGTGCCAACTTGAATAAAATAGTGTGGGGGCCCAAGTAATTTGAATGGCAATGCCCATCAACTTGGGGGGGACCCAGCCCCCACAAATATTTTATTGTGGTGGCTGAAGGGACCTCAGAACCTAGGAGTTGGTGTCTGTTTGCATATGTTTGATGCAATAAAAATTGAGATTGGTATGAAAGATGGTATACGATTGATTGATATTTAAACATTAAATCAGTCAGAAATCTGCATCATAGGGGTCATGTGGGCTTCAGCCCCCACAATAAAACATTTGAGGGGGCCGGGCCCTCACAAAGTTGATTGGCATTCCCATTCAAATGGTGTGTGTGCACTGCATCATGTGATCGATTACCTGGACCCCCACAATATTTTATTCAAGATGCCACTCCTGGTCTGCATAATTTGTGAGGGTCCTCCAAGCTCCAGCAGCAACTTCTTGTGGGACAGAGTGGGCAGAAGCAGGAACAGGAAGGACTGAAAGCCGCATTCATTGAACTCTGTTTTGTTCCCAGAATGGAAGTTAGGATACAAACTACTGCTTTGAACAGCTCTCTGTTTCCATGCAACTAATCTGGGCCAAGCTCTATGTCCTTTAGAGCAAAATGGGAGGGGGGGGAATCCTCCCAATAGAAATTTCCTTCCTTAACTATGTAGCACACAAGGTTTCTTGCCCTTCTTTTCAAGTCATTGACTGAACACCAGACAATATGCTACCATGCTGATCTTTGGCCATTAGTAACATGCAGCAATTTACTATTCACAGGCACCAGGGCCTGGTAGCAGTTAATCCCTAATGCAGAAAAAGCCCCCCACTGATTCTTGATCTGTATTTTTGTTAGATCTGAATGAATAGCAAGAGACCAAATTCGATTAGCATATCATAAACCTGAAAGTGACTTCATTGGAATCATGTTGAAATAGACACTGATAACTGCAAATAAAATTTAAATGCAATATCATTTATAAACAATTCTCCTGGCTGCTTGTTCTTTAATTTGGTGGTGTTTTTGCATCCAACTTCTAACTCTCCTTGAATTTCATTTTTATGCAAGTTATATGTTTTAGCCGAAAAAGATTTATTCTTCATAGTCGTTAGCTTTATCATTTAAAAACTTATATTAGCGCACAGAGGTGTGCAGCAGACAAAATAATAATTCATATTGTATCAGTCAGAATCACTCTACCATCTTAATCTTTCATAATGGTTTTTTCTGCAGCTTCCAATTTTCCTCATAGTAAAACAAATTACTTAGCAAATGGAATATCTTCTTGTCATAGTAATTTAATATTAAAATGTCAATAAGATTCTGGTACACTTAGCAGAGGGCATAAAGGTACAACAACAGAGCAGAAATAAAGCAAACTTAATAAAAGAGGCAGGGATATTCCCAGGACCAACTCAAACTCTGGCACTTGATTTTTTTTTTAAATAAATGCCTCTTTTCTCCCCAAACAACAGTTCAGAGGCACTTTACAGCAGAAGCTGCTTACCAAGAAGAAATTGGGGGGAGGGTTTGAGCCACTCCCTTACATTCCTGGAAGGTGGGGCATTGCTGTCTATGGGGAGCAGGGGGAGGTGCAAGGTGGCAAGGATGTTGACCATGGGAGGTGACAGGAGGCATAAGCACACCCCCAAATTGGGAGCTTGCTGCCCCACTTGCCCCCCCCCAATTCCTGGACTCCTGCATTAACATATTGTTGCCCACCACCCCAATCTTTGGTTCATGTTTCCTTGGGGGGATGAGACTCGCAGCAGAAATTTTGCTGTTTCTTCATATATGGTTTATTTGCACATATATAAAACCTGAGCTTGAGAGTCCCATGGACTGCAAGAAGATCAAACCTATCCATTCTGGAGGAAATCAGCCCTGAGTGCTCACAGGAAGGACAGATCCTGAAGCTGAGGCTCCATACTTTGGCCACCTCATGTGAAGAGAAGTCTCCCTGGAAAAGACCCTGATGTTGGGAAAGATGGAGGGCACAAGAAGAAGGGGACGACAGAGGACGAGATGGTTGGACAGTGTTCTCGAAGCTACCAACATGAGTTTGACTAAACTGCGGGAGGGAGTGAGAGACAGAAGTGCCTGGCGTGCTCTGGTCCATGGGGTCACGAAGAGTCAGACACGACTAAACGTCTAAAAAACAACAAAACCTGAGCCTGCAATGGAAGGGGTCACAGCTGCAGCCTTGGATGCAAACAGAAGTCAAACGTGGTGCTCTGCCTCTCTGGCTTTCCAGCCTGCAGCTTTACTTCTAACACCACCCAGACTTTCCACTCTAAATTCTGGCTTTTTGACCTTCTCACTATATAAGAGCTGGAGGAGTGACCCTGCCCATTTTGCATCTGACCCAGAGCACCCTCTCTTTTGGTTTCTTAATGGCCCATCGCCTTTCCCTTTGTTCTCTTAATACTTGCTGGATCCCAGGATTAAGTGTCTTGCACCCAATTTAACACCCCCAAGCCTTGATTAAAATCTAACACTTACTGGATCCAGGAATTTAGAGGAGTCTGGCACCCACAAAATCATAGTCAAATCCAGGGAAATACACCTCTCTGAAACCCTCTGAGCTAGATGGGCTCAAAGCTATGATTCAGTATAATGTTAGCAAAAAACTCAGGTAGGGTGACCATGTTTCCTTCTTTACAAATGATAAAGGTAAAGGGACCCCTGACCATTAGTCCAGTCGTGGCCGACTCTGGGGTTGCAATGCTTATCTCGCTTTATTGGCCGAGGGAGCCGGCGTACAGCTTCCGGGTCATGTGGCCAGCATGACTAAGCCGCTTCTGGCAAATCAGAGCAGCACACGGAAACGCTGTTTACCTTCCCACCGGAGCGGTACCTATTTATCTGTTACGATATAGAAGCAATGCGGCCGCGAGCTGGTAGCTTGAAAGCAAAACATAATGGGAATGTTGGGACTGTTCCGTGGGAAACAGAGGGACAGTCAATTCACAGTGCAGAGGGCACCGGAATTAGCTCAGAGTGTAATATGAGCTGTACAGGAAGTACAGGAGGAGTTTGTCTCTCGACTGCTGGAGCTTGAAGAGAGCAGACATGATTTTTGTAACGCTGCAAAGACAGAAATAAAGGAATGTAAATACGTTTCTGTCTATCTCTCTCCCTGCCCAGGGGGCAGGAAACCGAGGGGGTGTGTTCTTCTCACGCTGAGGAGGATCGCCTATCGCGACCTAGCCTGGATCCTGCCGGGAATGCAGACAGGGAGGTCAACAGGAGATCAAGCCGGGTGCCTGGAGAGTGGCCAGTTTCTCCTGATAAAGGCTTGAATCCTAACATATGGTAGCACGGAGCCGATGGTTTTGATCCATGAAAGCAACAAGAGAGGTTGATGGATCGTACTTCATCCTCTGCAAGGAGATAAAGAAAGAATGTGGTAGCGGGCGGATGGAAGCTACAAGGACGGCTGAGCACCGGAGGAGGTGTTTTTGCTGAGCAACGGATTCCCTCAAGGTATGGTGATTTTATGGCTGTGAGAGTGAACGCGAATTGAAGCATTCTTCGGTTCACTGAGTGTCTGCTTTTGGATGAAACCAGCACTGAAAGAGAGCCACATATTTCGCATACCTGAGTCTTGATAAGCCTGGAATGTCCAGTTGCTAAGCAACGAAACGTCAGTAAAGTGGAAAGTTACTGGCCAACAACGGAAGTAAGGCTGAGCACTGTGAGAGGCTGGAAAAACACTGATAAAACAGCGTTTGTTTTGTCTGTATATCTCACTGCTCTTGGAGGGACTTTCAAAACAGCCTGCGTTTAGCTGCCAAGTGTGAGGCAGTAAACAGCCAATAGACTTTTGGAGTTTACAGGCTCGAGAGTGAGAGCTGAGGCTTGGATTCAAAATGGATACCAAGAAGGGGGGAGGCTTACCTTACCCACCTCCACTGACTAATGACAATTATTCCTCATGGTCTGTAAAGATGAAAGCCCTGCTTCAGAATCAGAGGATTTTTGGGGTGATTGATAACCCCATCCCTGCTGCACCAACGCCAGGTTGGAATTCACAGAATGTGAGAGCCAGGACGGCCATAATTCTGTGTATCTCAGATGATCAGCTCGTGCATATTCAGGATTTGGAATACGCGCGTGAGATTTGGCAAACGCTGCGTAGAATACATCAAAGAGATGCTGGTTCTTCAGCGTTGCTGCATTTTGAAAAGCTAACCAATCTAAGGCTAGCGCCTGATGGAGATGTACAAGCGCATCTGACAGAGATGAAATTCTTACGCCAGCAGATGGCGGAACGCAATTTCCCTCTACAGGAAGAGATATTCTGCTTCATGATTATTAACAGCCTTAATCGGACTTATAAAACGGTTGCAAGTCAGCTTGGTTCTCTACCTGCCGCAGATCTTTCGACGGAGAGAATTTGTGCCGTGATTCTCAATGAGAAAGACAGACTTGCTGCAATAGATGTCAAAGGGGGAGAGAAGCTCGAAGTTCTGACACCCCCACTGCTATTGCTAGTGAAGAACAGGCTGTTGCTTTGAACGTTGTCCGTTGTTTCAATTGTGGACAGACTGGGCATCTTCAGCGGAATTGTAAGAAGCCACGTCAACAGAAAGGAGCTAAGGGGAGCTCTGCAAAGCCTGAGGCATCAGGCAAAAGTCGTACCAAGTCCCAGGTGAAACCGGCAAAGGCATTGCTGTCAACAAAAGCCGCATTTTCAATGGAGAACGCTTTTATTTTGGACACTGGAGCGACGCAACACATGACGTCTCGGCGAGATCTGTTTTCAACGTTTAAGAAGCAAAGCTTCACTGTGAAACAAGCCAACGGTCAGGAGCTGGAAGCGACCGGGTTTGGAACTGTGTATCTTGAGAGTCTGAACTTGACTATAAACAATGTGTATTTGGTTCCTGATTTAAAGTTCAATCTGCTGAGTGTTTCGCAGATCACAAAGAAAGGACTGACTTTGTCCTATGATAGAGAAAGCTGCAAAATCTTCAAAGATGGAGAGCTGTATCTTTCTGCCAGAGAGAAAGATGGACTGTATTTGTTGACTTTTGATCAAAGTGATTGCATAAATTGTAATGCATCTGATTCTAACATGATTTCTCTCGCAGGTGTGTCGAAAACGTCCAGAAGACGACGCAAGTAACCAAAGCTTTTCAGCGAGTGTATGCTGATGTGATTGGTCCTCTAGCACCGTCTAGAGGCAATGCAAGATATTATCTTGTGTGTGTGGATTATTTCTCTCATTATGTGTGGGTATATATATTGCAGAAACCACAAGAAGCCTTAGAAAGGTTTAAAGAGTTTTGTGACAAGGTTAAGAATGTTCATGATGCTAACATTGATTGTCTTTTCACAGATGAAAAGCCAGTTTTTCTTTTGCAGGATTTTCAGGATTTCCTGGATAAGAAAGGGATAAGGCACAAGACTGCTGTTTCTGCAGAAGCATGGAACAGAAGTGTCTGTGTGCAAGTGAACAAAGAATTGCAAAATGGCATGAAGGCGCAATTGCTGAGTTCACATTTGCCACATGAGTATTGGGCGGAGTCGATATTGTGTTATTGTTACAGTTGGGTGAGAAAAGTTTCAAAAGGTTTAGGATGTTCTCCTTTTGAGAAGCTGTTCCACAGAAAACCTTCTGTTGCCCATTTTAAGGTTTTGGGTCTCATGTGAAGACTGAAGCTCCAGGTGGAGTAAAGAATGCTAGAGGCATTTTTGTGGGTTATGAAAAGGGTCTCTACAGAGTAATTTTGTCTGAATCTGGTCAGGTGATTCTCACAAAATTTCTAGAGAGTGCTCCTGAACAGGAGAGAGTAATTGTTCACACATTTCCCACTGAGGACAGTTCAGATGATGATGATGATTTTACTGATTACAGTGGTACTGAGAGTGACAGTACTAGCTCAAAGAGCTCAGTTGACACAGTCATTGAGAGGAAATCTCACACAATGGATAGACCTTCACAGGTGAAGGATGAACCACTGTTTACTATTGGAACTGGTTCTCCAAAGAGTCCTGAGACTGAACCAGTGAGCAGAGAGGATCAGCACCTCATACGCAGGTCCGAGAGAGTTACAAAGGGTGTACCACCCAAGAGGTATTCAAAAGAGTTTGCTAACTCAGCTGTAGCATGTGTTACTATTGTTGACAACTCAAGACAGGTTGAAGCTGTGTCTAAGTCAGAGACAAAGACACAACAGAGAGTTGCTAAGCGTAACACTACATTCCCTAGCCAAGGTAATGCAGATGCACTCATTCCTTGGAAGACAGACAACCAGAGAGGTACACTGGGGAAACCAGTGGCGGGTAGTTCCAAGGGTGGAACTGAAACAACAGGCGAGTGTTATATGTATAACAACTGTTTGTTTTCTTCTCTGGATCACGCTTTGCTCGCAGCGCACATTGATTCATATGGGGAGTATGTTACGATATAGAAGCAATGCGGCCGCGAGCTGGTAGCTTGAAAGCAAAACATAATGGGAATGTTGGGACTGTTCCGTGGGAAACAGAGGGACAGTCAATTCACAGTGCAGAGGGCACCGGAATTAGCTCAGAGTGTAATATGAGCTGTACAGGAAGTACAGGAGGAGTTTGTCTCTCGACTGCTGAAGCTTGAAGAGAGCAGACATGATTTTTGTAACGCTGCAAAGACAGAAATAAAGGAATGTAAATACGTTTCTGTCTATCTCTCTCCCCTGCCCAGGGGGGGCAGGAAAGAGGGGGCGTGTTCTTCTCACGCTGAGGAGGATCGCCTATCGCGACCTAGCCTGGATCCTGCCGGGAATGCAGACAGGGAGGTCAACAGGAGATCAAGCCGGGTGCCTGGAGAGTGGCCAGTTTCTCCTGATAAAGGCTTGAATCCCAACATTATCTACTTGCACTTTGGTGTGCTTTCGAACTGCTAGGTTGGCAGGAGCAGGGACTGAGCAATGGGAGCTCACCCCGTCACGGGGATTCGAACCGCCAACCTTCTGATCGGCAAGCCCTAGGCTCTGTGGTTTAGACCACAGCGCCACCCAAGTCCCACCTTTACAGATGATAGTCCTCTATAAAATTAGTATAAATGAGTATATTAACACCTGTGTCCTCTCTCGTCCTCATTTTTTTAGTGATGCTTAAGTAGTTTTGAGTGTCTATCAGTTGGGAAGCAAGTGTTGGCTTTTTGCAGTATGGTAGCACTGCAGAGAGCTTGCTGGGGAGACCATGCATTAAAAAGGGACTCAAAAATAATTTAAACAAGGTTTTAATAAGAAAAACAAAAACTCCTTTTACACTAAATACATTAACAAACAAACATGACCCAACCACCAACCTCTGAGATATCTTGATTTATTGCTCAGATAAGTGTCCGGCACGCTTCCTCCATCACGGGCCTCTGCATTCCAAGAGTCCGACTCATCTGAGCATAGCAGAGTTTCAACAGCGGTAAGAGGAAACTGCAGAAAAAAACTCCAGTGCATTCTTCAGTGTGCTTAAATAAAGTCCACACAGGATGTTAGCAGCTAAAAGCAGTTTTATTTACAGCAGACTATCCATTATCTATCACAGCGAACAGCATCGCGAAAACACGTCCTCTCTCCTCAAAAGCGAAAGTAGAGAGACAGAACAAAGACTTTAGTCTCTCGGAACTGACGTAGCATTTCCCCTCCCAACTGTAGGCAGGGCGTACAGTCTGAGCTGTTTAACCCTGTAAGCTCAGGTTCTCCTCACACCCCCTATCGCCCTGCGCTACTGTGGGGAAAGTAAGTACAGAACTTACCCCCAACTCCAAACCACCACAAAACTCCCCATGACGCTGGAAGCTTAAAGGTTTGGTAAATCCATCGGCCAGGTTACTGTGACTGGCACAGTACTTCAGTCGTATCAAACCTGACTGAACACTCTGACACACATTTTGGAAACGTATGTCCAAATGCTTGGTTCTCGCCTTAAATTGCGCAGATTCAGCCAACTTCAAACAAGGCTGATTGTCTTCCCAAACCGTGATGGGTAAGCTACAATCCCCATAGATCTCTTGCACCAAGCATCTATAGAACTCTAGTTCTCGGCACAAGTCTGACAGTGCACTGAATTCAGCCTCAGTAGACGACAGCGCAATGAGACTTTGCTTCCGGGACTTCCACCCAACTAGTGACTTCCCAAACTTTACCATCAACCCAGACACAGACTTGCGGTCCTGCGAATTCGCCCAGTCACTGTCCGCATAGCATGTGAGCTCGCCTCACCTTCAGCTGGCAGCTTAAGACAGAAGTCTTTGGTATGCTGCAGGTAGCGCAGTACCCGCCTGATACCGTGCCAAGCACTCACACTGGGCTTTGACGCTTCCCTACTTAGCAGGTTGGTAGCAAAGGCAATGTCTGGTCTGCTCCATTGGGACAGATACAACAGACTACCTAGAGCTGACTGAAAGAGCTCAGCATTCTCAAACTCAGCACTCTCTGCTTGCTGGCTATCTTTCACGAGTTCGTCTCCATGGGTGTCCGAACTCCTGCACAATCGGACATTCTGAACTTCTCCAGCAACTGCTCAATCTTGCCTTTCTGACTGAGCAAGAAGCTACCATCCTCAGTTCTCGCTATCTGGACACCTAGGTAGATCTTTACTGCACCCAGGTCCTTGAGCTGAAACCGTTTCCCAAGCTCTTTGGCAAACTTCTGCACCTGTTTGTCTGCCTTTCCAACATGGATGATGTCATCAACGTAAAACAACACCAGTTCCCGTGAGTCTCCTGATCCTCTAAGGAACAGGCAACTGTCAGCAAGACTCTTCCTGAAACCTAGCTTCTCCAAAGCTTCATTCAGGCACAAGTTCCAATTCCTGGCCGACTGCTTCAGGCCGTAAATTGACTTGTGAAGTTTCCACACAGTACCTCGCTCATTGCCCTCAAACCCAGGAGGAGGAAGCATGTACAGATCCTCCTGGAGGTCTGAGTTCAAGTAAGCAACATCCACATCAAAGTGATGCACCAGCAAACCTCTTTGTGCAGCGATGGCCAAGACCAAGCGTAGAGACTCACTCCTACACGTGGGCGCATAAATCTCCGTGTAATGCAACCCCCTGCGCTGCGTGAATCCTCTCGCCACTAATCTGGCCTTATACTGCGGTTCTCCTGTCGCTGTGGGCTTAAGACGGTAAACCCAGCGACTACCCACTGCCTTTTCACCCACCGGCAACTTCGTGAGGGAGAACACACCTAGAGACTCCATTGAGTTCATCTCCTTCTGCATCGCCTCATGCCATTTCCTGGCTTCTTCCTGAGGCAGTTTCTGAACATCCTCAAAACTCTCGGGTTCACACTGTGCCATTCCGACCCACACGCTAGTGACGGCAAACCTTTCAGGAGGTTTCCCTTGGTCGTCCGTGTTGAACGGCGCAGCACTACTTCAGGAACCCCTCTGACGCACTAGGGCCAGCCAGAACGTCCTTGGCATCAGAGAGCTCCCCTCTGACTTACTGCGCCTTCTGGACTTCTCAGCCGAACCTGTGGGGAAGATGGAGCACTGCGTTGCTCAATCTTCACAGCCTTGGGAGAAGTTCTCCCCTCTGCCTGCACTAGGCCTGGACTCTGAGCCTCAGTAGCAGGTTCAACCTCTTCCTCTCCTTCATCAGCAGAGTCTAGCAGACTCTCTGACAGGATGTCAGGGTTCCCATGTATCCTTGCCCAGCCACTCTGCTCACAGAATTCAGCACTGTTGCTGAGCAGAATCCTGGACTGATTCCCTGATGGATACGCAAACCTCCACCCCTTGGTCCCTGGCTCATACCCACAAAAAATCATCTTTTGGGACTTGGGTTCACCTTTCTTGCGTTTGGCCTTTGGTATGAGGACCCAAGCCTCACAGCCAAAAACGTGGAAGTAGTGCACTTTCGGTTTCTTGCCATGAAGCAAGAAGTACGGTGTGTCACCTACTACTGAATTGAACGACCTGTTCAGAACAAAGTTGGCCGTTCTCCAAGCCTCCCCCCAAAAACGCTGTGGGAGCCCGGCATCAAACAAAAGAGCTGCGGACATCTCCCCTAGAGTCCTGTTTCTGCGTTCCGCGATCCCATTCTGTTGGGGACTGTGTGGAGAAGTCAACCTGTGTTGAATCCCCTTTTGCGGAAGAAACTTTGCAGTGCAGACCCGGTGAACTCCCCACCGCGATCGCTCTGAAAGTTTTGCACCCGTGTGGAAAACTGCAGTTCCACAGCCGCAATCCAGTCTTTGATTAGCGGCGCAGCTTCATCTTTGCGCCGAATCGTGAAACACCAAGAATTCCTAGTATGGTCATCAATCAGAACCAGCGAATATTTGGCTCCGCCCAAACTGCTCACAGAAAACGGACCACACAAATCTGCATGAATTAATTGAAAAGCCCTGGTGGTCACCCTCTCAGACCTAGGGTATGTGCACGTTTCACCTTTGCGGACTTGCACGCTCTGCAATCTAGAAACTTAGCACATGATTTCATTTTGCACCCTTGCGTATACTCTGGGATCCTTCTCACCGACCCCCACGACACGTGTGCCATACGTCTGTGCCAGAGATGTTGACACGCATCATGAACTGGAACATTGGCACACTGTGCTTGAGCCTCCTCTGTGTCATCCGTGTCATCTGGACCTGCAAAAGAAGCATTTATCACAAACAACCTGTCTTTACATTCAACACTGACTAGGTGCTGTCCATTCTTGGAAATAGAACACTTATTGTTCTCAAAACACACTCTGTAGTTCTCAGCAAGAAGTGCACTGACAGACAGCAACGCGCAGGACAGTCCTGGAACAACAAAAGCCTGGATTGAGTCCTGCAAGAAAGAACAAAACAGTGAGCCACTCTGCGTGAGTGGGTGTCGAGTCCCATCTGCTAAACAGACAGTCTTCCCAGATTTTACAGAGGTGCAGTTCTCCAGGAATCCACCAGATGGCACGAGATGATGAGATGCTCCACTGTCGACCACAAAAGCCAGCTCAGCATCCTGTTGACAACTCTTGACTACAGCCATAGAGGCAGCCAAATGTTTACGTTCAGTGTCTCTGCCAGCTGCCTTCGGCTTGCCTTTCCCACGCTTTGAAGAAGAGCTCTTTATCTGGTTGCTACGGGAGACGGCCTTGGGCTGTTCCTCCACTGGACATTCTCTCACCAGATGGGAGGGGAGCCACAGCGATAACAGCGGCGACGCGTAGCAACAGCTCTCACAGCTCGTCTTCAGCCATTCCTTTGTTCCCTGCACCCCCACCTTTGGGTGCACAGCCTGGGCCTGCACGCTCCCCAGCACTCTGGTTGTAGGCCTCAACATCACACGGCCCCTCGGAGACAAAGCAGCTACTCCCAGCTGTAACTTTAGGAACATGGCCAGCAGCCCCCTCTGGGCTCTCAGCTTCCTCCCGGCCCTGGGCTCCTGCTGAGTTCTCACACAGACTCCTCAGCACCTGCCAGGCGGCCTGAGCCGACTCAATGCCCTCCAGGTGGGGCAACAGCATAGCGTCCACGCTTGCTCTCAACATGCAGAGCTCCCTTTGCATTCTCAGCTCTCTATCTTCCAGGAGAGCAGCCTCCCAGTTCTGCTCCTCCTTCTTCAGCAGCAACTGGCATGGGTGGGGCAGGCTCCTTCTGGGCTATATCCCAGAACCCTGTGGCCAAAAACCACCCCCTGACTCTTCTAACCCAGATATCCCAGGACTGGGTTGTGAGATTTCAAACGGGACATCATAAAAGTCCTGGAGCTCAGCCATCTCCTCCCCCAGTGCTCCCATTGGGGCTTTGAAGTACTCACGCGTACCAGCCAGCTTCAAAGGAGAGGCCTCCAGTGGCTCTTTGCAGCACACAGCTTGCATCCAGCTTTGCAGCACACAGCTTGCCTGCTTTTCTCCCAGGCGAAGCCTCA